ATCATCGCTATCGCCATCACTCGTGTACCCATCCACAAACACTCGCGCACACACACACACACCAGCAGCTCGGCATCATTACTTGCATTATCAACGGCATGGTGATCGTCATCCTCACCCTCAACCTCATCCGCATCGTCGTCACCACCATGAAGAAATACAAAACATCATCACGATCCATGCCAACATGCTGTTGTCCTTACCATTGGCAAGGCCTTTGTTGTCATCGCCGTCCTTGTAAGCATGGTCACCACACCCCAACATCGCCACCACACCACCACACCACCACACCACCACCACCACCACCGCCACCACCACCACCAGAACCACCAGAACCACCAGAACCACCAGAAGAACCACCAGAAGAACCACCAGAAGAACCACCAGAAGAACCACCAGAAGAACCACCAGAAGAACCACCAGAAGAGCCACCAGAAGAACCACCAGAAACACCAGAACCACCAGCACCAGCACCAGCACCAGCACCAGCACCAGCACCAGCACCAGCACCACCGTTGTTGTGGTTGGGGTTGGGGGTTGTAGTTGGGGTTGCGGTAGGGAGCGGTGGTGGGGTCGGTGGTGGTCGCGGCAGCGGTGGTGGTGAACAAGAACAATAAGAATTTTCAATTCAACGCGGCGCGAGCGTGCTCTGCGCATTGCGGGCGTAGTGCTTAACCCGACACTCGGTGAAACTGATGTAGCTGATCCTTCACTCCAAATAAACCTCCCTCGCTGAACTCTGCCAGATTGGTGAACCTGAGCACTGAAACAAGAAGTCTTCTGCTGAAGTCGATATATACAACCTCCGACACCCTCATCGTGAGCCAACGCGTCCGATGCTCCCGAACCAACGCCTGGTGGGTCGTATTCGGAGCTAGCAGAGCTCACGAGCCGGGTCCCGGAGTGCCAGTCTAGTCCCACAACGGCTTTTGCTCCGAAGATGTGAGCCCACCCAGGATTACAGGAGAATGAAGAACCTGGAAACTCGCCAGTTCTGCACCGCCGGCGACTGAAGCTCCGCTGTAGTGCCCTCTTTCGGCCTCGTTCGTCAATGGAGTGTCTTCATCCGGAGGATCCTGGGGAAGGTATGAGACTGGAGACACATGAGAGCGAGGCGGCTCGTACTTCGGAGGTGCCCTTGGGCAATGGTGCGGGTGTGGTTGCCTCCCTTGCTCGTTGCCGGCTTGGCCTTCTTCGGTGATGGCGCCTCTGAAGTGGGGGGGGTCTCGCGAGGGAGGACTGGAAGGCGGCTTCGGAATTGTCGTGGACACCGTGGTGTTAGGGGGGCCGACGAGTGAGAAGAAATGGGAAGCAGAAAAAGGGTTGGTCTGTTTCGGCGTGTCGAAGCCTTCTCCCTTGGCACAGGGTGGAGGCGATATTTTGGCTGGTGGCACTGGGAGCAGGAGGACCTGCATTTTCGTCATGGATGTACGTCTGGACTGCGGGCAGCGCCAACTCCGGTTTGCAAAAATACCGCATGGGCCAGGGTGAGTGGGCGTAGTGGAGCGCAACCTCCGCCAGATCGGCCATGATCTGGCAGCTATCGCTCGCGTGGCGATCATCTCTCGATGCATGTCTGCTTCCAGTTTGCAACAACCAAAATTGGCAAAACTTGAGGCCTGGCCTGTCTCATGGCCACAAATGCGCGTTGAACCAGAGTCCCGATTGCTGTCCGGGCGACCTGTGTACGGAAGTGACTGTCATTGGTGGTGTACATATGGTCAATCTCGTCCAAGGCCTCGAGGGTCATAATTTCATGGCCATATGGGCGATGCCGTACGACGGTTGCAAGGACTTATAATGGAATTCCTGGAGTCGCGTCGTGCCCGTGTTGCCATTCCTGATGCTGGGCAGAAGGCCGAGGAGCTGTTGGTGAGGATGCGCCGCCCCTTTGGCATGACGATGGCGGCTTGGTGCGCGAAACTTGTCGCGGGCCTTGAAGCGGGCTCGTTCAGGAGATGTTCTGGGGGATAAGGCAGCTGGCAAGAGATTGCAGAGCACTTCGGGAGCAGCGGCCAGTACTTCTTGCCCCTTGGCCGACGACACGAAGAAGCAAAGCTGCATCCGAGGAGGGCTCATCCACTGCACTTCCTTGCTGTCTCATTTCACAGATTTGTCAACACGCATTCATTCTGGATAGTTGCTCTCCGACTTGGCTAGTATATGGGTCGGTATGTGGCTACACTTCTCCGGCCTTTTTCGTAGAAGTGATTGGTGTGTAGGGCACAGCCCCCAGCATGGTGCACCACAGTCGCCGCCTCAGCCATGGAACCAAAGGAACGTTGTATGGTTCTACGCGACAGCACTCTGCAATACTTTCTCCAAGGGAAGTCGTACGGGGTGTACCCGATCTTTTAGGGCTTTGTGCTCTGCTGCCCCGGAGCTCTGAGGATCTGCTTCCTGTGTCACCGCCCAAGCTTTGCCGGTGAGTTGCGATATCAGCTCGGGTCCAAGGAACATTCTAATCAATGCATGTGGCTGCATCTCCGTCCCAGGTGCATCTGTAGGCCTGGTCTTTGTCTGTGGTTGCCATCCCAAAATGGGTGGCGAAGCAAAGGTAGCATTGCCAACGGCTCGCCCGGAAGGTCCTGAATTTCGGTGAGGCTCCGGGCCGAAGCAAGCAGATAAAGGAAGAAGCCCAGTGCAAAAAGTTTCTTGCTCCAACATTGCAGCTAGCTGCGCCCTCTCCCCCAGTAGCGTGCAACGAAGCTCCGCCACCAGTCTCAGAACTCTTCAAGAGACTGGCACCCAACAACAGTTCGGTTTCACGGCTTCCCAGACTGGTAGGCTCCTACTTAATAACGCCAGCTGAGAGCAGGCCCGATGAAACAGAGTTGCCTAACTTTCTCCGCAACCATCACATAATTGCCTTCAACACCTGGCAGGCCTCCCGGCCCACAGTTTTGAGCAGGGTGAATCCCACGTGCAGATCGACTACATTAATTATGACCAGGGAAGCTACGGCTGGTCGCTCAGCTAAAAGGTCGAGTCCCCTCCCCAGCTTCTCTTTACAGGGAGCTGGAAAACAGGGGGCCATCTGCCGGTGACGGCACGGGTGCAGCCGATGCGACGTTGGCAACTTCCGGGACCACGCTTCAAGCCCTTATCCCATGATGCAAGACCATGCAATCTGCTGTTTGATCCAATCAACAACAGGCTCAGACCATGTTGGCCTGGGTACAGGAGCGACTTCGCGAGGACATGCTGTCGGAGTGGGATGAGTTACTCTCTCAGGCCACCCAGTGCTTCTTCCCCAAAATCCCCAAGGCCCTGCCGGAGGGACAAGACACAATTGTGGCTCGGCGCCTTTGGCGAGCTCGACGCGTGCCGATCAAAAGGAGCCTGGTCGGAACCTTTAGCAAAGGAGTTGCGCCCAGAGCCTGTTCGAAAGCCCCCTCTAAACTGCGGCAACAACAACAACTTCTTTTGCTGCTACTGCCGCTACTACTACTACCACCACCACAACATCCACATGAAATTATGATGATGATGGTGGTGATGAGGAGGAGGATGCTGATGATGATGGCCACAACTGAGGCACAACCGTCATCGTCTCCTTCTTCTACGAAAAACAGTGTTTACAATAAAACTACGAGTACTCACCTGCATCACTCGCGGTAGCATTACTGGCGGAATCAGCACCATCTCCGGCAATGTTGTTCGGGTCGTGGCTGCCTTCTTTGCCCTCCTGACTGTCGTTTCAACAAAATTGAAGCATAGTTGCTGTACGTAGCGGTTGATGCCATACTTGGGGCTAATGCCGCTGCAGCAGCGCAATGTGCCGGTGCTCGGGTTGCTAGAATGAAGCCTTGTAGAGTCCCCATAAGATCATCGTGACTCCGTGCAGTTTGAGGCCAGTAACCCACACAAGGTACTGTAGGGTACTGAGATGCAAGCCTGGTCGAAGCGAACATGTCGTCCGAGCCTGTGACGGGCCTCACTGGGACACCTCAACAAGTCACCGGCATAAACAAGCCTGGTCTAGCCGCTGCTCGGCATGCGAACATCCAATTCGACCCAGGAATGCAACTCTTTTTTCACTTGTCGCGGTTCCTCCCGAGATGCAGAACCGAAGGAGCCTACTTGGCCTCATGCCGGGCTGGACCACAGCCCACCGAGGAAAACACCAAGCGTGCGCAGCACGGCTTGTGGACCCCACACCATAAATGCCCTAGTGGCCCTAGCTCTCCGGCGTTACTGACAGAGCTCTTGGGGAACATCCTGGTGTTGTTTCCGCGCAGCACTTGGAACTCGTCCCGATGACGAGGGTAGCAACTGTACTGATGGGCAGAATAAACCCTTTGAGGCCGAAAAGCTGAGGAACGCAGCTCCGGAACAGGGGGGGGACTGGAAAGTCCAGCACTCCGCCAATCCGGCGGCCACTCCTTGTAAAGACGGCACCCCCAATCCCGCGGCGTCCCTCCGCTGTGCCTCTGCGGCCGTCAAACAATGAAACATGCACAACTGAGTACCCTTTTACTGGAGCCCTCTACCAACATGTCAACAGAATCGAAAGCCATGTAGAAAGCCGCAGGGCTGGAATGACATGCAGATGGTCTGTGGAGACTGTGCAAAGAGCAATGCCCTGGCACCACAAGACAAATCAAGGCTTTGGCGAAAGCCGAAGTAATAAGCTGATCTCAGCCACGGGTAGAGAGCTTGGCACATTCTCTAGCCACCCTCTTTTCTGTAATGCTGTGCTGGGAGCTCCATGCTCCATCTCCTTTTGCCAACTCTCCGAAAGGCTTCGTTCCGCCTTTGGCGGGCCTTCCTGCGACTGAGTTCAGGATGGCTACCGACTGCAATTGGAGATGTCTGGCAATGGTGCAAAGTAACATAAGTAAAATAGCACACTCGTCATTGCAGCCCTCTTCTTGCTACTGCGAGCCCTCGAACAAATCAATCGAACCGAGAGGGAACTCGCACCGGTCGCCGGTTGTTGTGAGCTCCAGAAGGCCCGGAAGGGGGAAGGGAGATAACATGTCAGGTGCCAAGTCAGCTCAGGGTACCTGAATGGTCCGCAGCCCCTCGTCGAGCTCCTGTATCAACCGTCACTTCGGGCCTGACCTACTCTGCAAAGGCCAAAGACATCGACACAACACGCATCCTGCTCGGTGATTTCAGCCGGGTCATGCGCTTTTGCTGGTTTCCCTGCATCGGCAGTGTTGCTCTCCTGAGCAGGCATCGCAGGGAGCTTCCGAAACCAGAGAGAGGGTTGCCAACTTCCTGGACGTCTTTGTTGACGATCGCCACATCATCCTTGTGCGAACCGCCAGCGCACCACTTCGGCAAGCGCAGGTAGCCTGGGCAGTTGGAATGCTGCAAGGCCCAACGAGGGCTATCATCATCGGAATCTCAGTTCGGTCATGCCCTGTAAACCTTCCAGGTGTCTGCTCTGCAAAAGCCAAGAAGCCAAAGTTGTACTCGGGTCCTGGAGGTGCACAGCTTTCATGTTCCGTCATAGCAGAAGCACCAAAAGCTCAAAGCCGTGGAAGACACGGTACTTTCGGGCACTGTCGACCCGTGTCTGTCCCGCGAGCCAGAGAACTGCCATGAAGAAGATCAGGGAGTAGAGGAATGAGTACCTGGCGGCTGCAGAACTATCGATGCTGCCACTACGATCGCCATCGGGACCTCTCAAGCATAGCAGGAGGCACATGATGGTGACGCAGATCAGCAAAGCCATCTTGATGAAGAAGTAGAAGAAGCACATGAACATCGTTGCGCCAGCGAGCATCGTGGTCAACGCACCTCAGTCCCGCTATCGAAGCCATGCAAAGGCGCCAGCTTCCTTGCAGAAGAAGGCCTGCAAAAATGGTGGAGCCCATGTTGCGAATGGCAAACTTGGCCCGATCATCACCTATAGAGCACAAAGCAGCGCAAATAAATTGGCACGTGTGGGTTGGCAACGATCGCGGAGTCCAGGAAACTGCCGTAAGCCGGACACGCGTCTCATGGCCAAAGTGCTTGGCTTCGCAGTACATGTGTGCCAAATGCACGACGTAATCCACAGAGTATCCGATGACGATGACACCCGCGATGGCTTCGCCTGCTCAGCCCGGACACGACCAGAAACTGAGCGGAGATGGGACAAGCACGTGGCTTCAATCCTCAATCCGTGGGCAAGACGCCTATGCCCAGATCCCAGTCCATGGCACTCTTGCAGAAGCCGAGCACGCAAAGAACCTGCAAACCACACCAAGTCATAAGGGTGCCGGAGGCTCTCAACGAGTCAGCATGTGTCGATGAGGCGCGATGGAGCCCACGGTGAGCACGGCATAAATTGCCACGACCTAGGCTGCAAGTCACTCGTAAGAAAGAAGGGACCTGCAAGCGCAGCTGAGGTCAGTGCCATGTTTCTCGTCGAGCTGAGGAGCACCAGAAATGAGACTGGCATGGCAATTGCCTGCAAACAATTCGTCTGTGGCTTGCTGCGTCAAGCCTCGCAAAGCTTCAGGCCCCGACAATGCCGGAGAAGAGCCCGTTGATGAGTTCCTCTCCCATGTCGTACCTGCTACACCCGCGCCATCATGCTCTCAGACTCAGCTAGCTCAATTCTGCCCATAGAGCGGCCTCTGGAATTCTCCATTCCCATGGAACTTGATGCTCTGCAGGCTAGAAGGCAGAGGTCCTGCAAGGTCCAACTGCGCAGAAATGGCCAGCTGGTACCAGAGTCAGGTCAGCCGACCTCTTTGCTGATCCATCCACTCACGTAGCATGTCCCGTACTTCTGTGCCTGGCCGGCTGCAGTACGCCACTGTTTGCTTCGCGGTTAACTTCACGTCCCGCCAAGCCTATGGAAAATGGCAGCCGCTTCTTCATCACGCTTCGGAACTTGATCGCAACATACTTAAGCTCACCACCGATGAAGCCGATGTCCTCCCAAGCAGAGGACCGAAGACCGTTGAGGATATAGCTTTCTTTGTAAAACATTAGGCGACTCCTCGGCAGGTAAGACACCTTGGAAGGCCGTTGCTTCGAGGCTGGGCTTGCACCGTGAACTGACGATCCCCGTCTCAAACTGAGGATGCTCTGCATACATATGAAATGTCGCCATGTGAACAACAACCTTTCCTGACAAGATTGATGCTCCGGAACATCCCTTTCCACCGCAGCTCCTCCTTGAAATCAACTTCTTTTTTCATGACGTCCCCGTAGTAGTCGCCTGATCTGCGTCAGCCGGAACGTAGACTTGTGACTTGCTGCGGGTGGAAAACTGGAAGCGAATGCTCCAGAAGCTGTAATCTTCGATCTAATCTTCGGGCATCCCGAACTCGCCCGGTTGCCTACAACAGCATTGTCGCGGAAGTTCTTGAGCTGAGCTGTGAAGTTCGCCCCGGTCGGAAGCGGCCCATTCAGCCACGTCTGAAAGTCTTTCAGAAAGCAGGCATCGGTCCTTCACTTGCTGGCACAATGGAGGATCCCTTCTCCCTCCCTTGACAGGACCCTTGCTTTGCAATTCTCCTCTCCGAAGTTTGCATGAGGAAGGTCTTCTGGTCGTAGCCGGAGTTGTCGCATCCCTGCGCTGACACGGAGCGAAGCTCTCAGAAGGATCAAAGGGCACCCAACCAAGCGGAGGGCGACAACGTGATGGACCTGGCCTGAAGGTCGCAGGTAATGTTGTGCACTTTGTCGCAGATGCCGAGCAACGCCGACTGAGCCTGCAAACACTCGCCAAATGAAGGCGTGCGCAAGGACAGTCCCAAGAGACAGACAGCCCTGCTGACAACAAGATAAGCAGCACCTGCACACTGCACAGAGGCATCTAGCGCGCATCCACATCCCATGGTCAACAGATATTGCAAGAAACAATGGGAACCTGAATGATCAGTGACTTCGTAACCCTCTGCTTTCCCAGTATGATCTGTCTCAGGCTCACTGTAAGAAGTCCTCTGTTCAAGGCCTCCGCAGTGCTCAGATCAAAGGCATCATCGTAGATGGCAGTGCCAGTGAAGGCTCCTCCAAGATGCAAATGAAAGCACGTTTCGGGTTTAGGGTTTCAGAGAAGGGGAGCCAGGGACAGAAGGTATGCCTTCGAATGCACCAATGAGCACATGCTGAGGTAGGCACACAGATATACACAAAAACGTAAACATCTATCACGTGCATGTGAATGCTCCATATAAATTTATACATACATCTCTTTACACACACACACAGAGATACATACCTCTATATATATATATATGCATATGTGCATATATATATATATGTATATATATAATTATAATTATATATATACATATATATATATATATAATTATCTAATTATTCATTTATTTGCTTATGGATATATATATACACACATACATACATGCATACATACATACATACATACATATCTATATATTTTATATGTTTATTTTTTGCGTATATATACAAACACTTTTTTGTTTGTATGCATGCAGGTATGCATGTATGCGTGTGTGTGCGTGTGCATATGTCAATGTCTCGGTACATATACACGTGTACACATATCGTACCAGTTGATAGATCTGGATTTGGCACCATACATACCTATTGCGGAGGCGTGTGTGCCCACGGGTGTGCGTGTGTGTGTGTGTATATGTATGTGTGTGTGTGTGTGTGGGTGTGTGTGCGGGCGTGTGTGTGTGTGTGTGTTTGTTTGTTTGTTTGTTTGTTTGTTTGTTTGTGTGTGTGTGTGTGTTTGTGCGCGTGTGTGTGTGTGTTATGTGTCTGTGTACTTGGACCCCGGTCCTGGATCATAAACTTGGATGCCGGTCTTATCCAAGCCTGCGATGCCCAAGAAGATCGTCACAACCTCGGTTACGATCACTCTAATGTAACATGGCACCATGGGATATACTATGAGATACTACAATAGCAAATCAAATATAATAGCCGAATATAACCGAGTGTAGCACAGCATAGCCTCTAGTCTAGTGCAGCCTGATACGGTGTAGTTTCGTATAGTATAGTCCAGTCTACTCTAGCCTAGTATAATAGAGTATAGCATAGTATAGTGCAGTTGAGTAGAATAGAGATGAACGTGCACAGAACGGAGGCTTTTCACCAGCCCACGACAAAGCGGATCTTCTTGAGGCCCGGGGGCGGCATAGTTGTCTGAGGACGGAGTGTAGAAGTTGTCTGTCATGAAGTCCTGGAGGCTGAGCAGCATGTGGTTTCCTGCAAGGGCGCAGGCTTTCGCACACTTAACCCTGTCAATAAGAACTATGGGACATGCTCCTGGAAACCAAACTTCTTCGGATCGTGGAGGGGTCAGCTGCATTGCGAAAGCGACGCCTGCTGGAGGAAAGGGCCAGATGCGAGGCACTGAAGGCGGTGTCCCGTTGCCTTGTCTCTCCCCCTGCCGCACTGATCTATCCGATTGCCAGGCCTTGAATCGCCACTGCCAGGAGGAGGAGAGCCAGGAACAAAGCATAGATCCGAAGCCCACCCACTTGCTTGGACATCACCTAGGGCTTGGGACGGGAGTTCAGCACTTGCGGCCCGAGGCTGGGAAAATATGGCAGGCTAGTAACTGGAATGTAGAGCTTCTCGAAGAACCTCTCCACAAGGCCGGAAGACTCCTCCTCGTGAGCTCATCCAGCACATGGCAGTAAGAGACAGCAGCAGTTAGCAGGCTTCCCACTCTCTGCCATGGCTCCTGATCCATTTTTTTCTCTTTGGACATTCCCTCTGGAACAACGGCGGTTGGCCGTTCTGTCAATCCGGGGCAACAGCACCGCTTCGATTGCAGCCGCCGATGCCAGAGGATGACGACAGGCGGATAGTATATCAGTGTTAGCACCTGCTGCAGCTCCCCCTGACTCTTGCGCTGCAAGCAGGACAGCTGAGAGCCCTGCATACAAGGTGACGATGCATGTCGCCGCCTGGGTCTGGGCTCAATTTGACAAATCGTGCAACTTCATGCAAACATTCCCTGCTAGCGACTAGCGACTCTTTTGATTCGAACAGATGACGTAAAGAAAAGAATGCTTTCGCGAAGGGGCATACCAGCCGCAAGTTCGCATGGGCATCGCCTTGGACACCTGCAGGGCGATCGTGATCTTTGCGGAAGTAATGTATTGCCCAAGCCCAAGCAGCTTTCGTGATGCAGCGCAGTTGTGTCGTTATGCCAGGATACAGAGCAAGAGGCAAAAGCCAAAGCTGTGGTGAAGGAGGTGTTGAAGATGGCTGTGCCTGCCGAGGGTGAGATTCAGGAGAGAGGAAGCTGTCGACAGCGCGACAGCTCAGCAAAGCAAAGCATGCTGGCAGCGCCAGCACGCTGGAAGGTCAAGGACAGCACCCGAATCTCCTCAAGACACTCCGCTTTTTGCACAGCGTCATCTCTTTAAAAGCTTTTTCTTAAGTTTAAGAGCCGCTGCAGCCGTCCCTCCGTGCCCAAAAGTGCCCTCTGCGAGTGCGCTCTGCGCAGCTCCTGGTCTTCTGTGAGTCGCCCCGGCTGAGCGAAGGGGAACTCGGCCTCGGGCAGCGGTGCTTTGGGTTTGGGGCTTACAGGGCTTACGGGGTTTACGGGGTTTAGGGTTCTCTTCGAAGTCCCCTGCTCCGCGCCTTCTTGACGTGGCAGAAGGTGTCCTTGAAGACATACACGTCATCCGCTCCGATACCCAAGACCAGATAAACAACGAGGATGTGCAGGAACTCGAAGTATTCAATCCGGAACACGCCTTACCAAGAAAGAAAAGGAACTTGCTTGTCACTGGTCGTTGTCTCGTGGCGTGTGCTGGCTTCCATTTCTAGCTAAGCCGAGGGTCCTTGGTAGAAGAGTGATGCAATAGGCAGCGTAAGAATCTGGGCGCCAAAGCACAAGAGCATCTAAGCAACACGCTCCGACACACTGCAGGGCTCAGATGGAAGCCATCATGAGAAGTGCGGCTGATGCCATGAAGCTGGACCTCATGTGGACCCACCTGCGGCTTTTTGAAAGAGAAGAGTCACCGCTGCTGTTTTCTTAGAGGTGTGTCTGAGCTTCCAGCGAAACACCGAAGACCAGGATCACCGAAAAAAAGGAAAGTCCAAAGTCGGGAAGGGCCATCTTTTGGATCTCGTTGATCCCAGTGTACGTCACACGAACTCGGATGTCGCCTGCAAAAAAGGGCTTGCTCTTCGATTCCCCTTCTGCTCTGAAAAAGCCCAGACGGCGACAAGAAAGGACCACCCGAAGAAGGTGCTAAAGCGGTGTATGGGGGTCCCGGTTCCCGGGCCTGACTGGACGAAGCGATCCTCGTCGCCCTGGAAGGCGGAGCGGAGGAACCCGTAGGCGAGGCCCAATTTCTCGAAGGCCGGCTCCATCACCTTCACCTCGTCGTCGCTCTTGAGCACCTCCAGGAAAACAAGGAGAAGGTCCCCATGGAGTCAGAGATATCAACGGATACTGGTTTTCGTTAATAGATCGACTCATAGGATAGATGTTTGCATACAGTGGACAAAATAGATAGAGAGAGTCTCGCGTCTCGCGTTGTCCAGCCGCCGGTTCAGCTGCTCATGTGCTGGCTGCTGTATGCACAGGCTGGGGTCTGCAAACATGCTGAACAGAACCAGTAGAGGCGTTCCACGAAGAAAATCTCTCACCTGGAGCTCTGCGAAGGTCCGCGAGTAGGCTGTCTGCTTCGTCTCCCGGAAGTTTGGGTCGACAAACCTTTGAAGGTCGTTGCTGAGAGCATGTGAAACATGATGACTAGATGTTGCCGGGTCGATCATTGTACTCTTGCGCAAAAGTGCTGGCGAGACTCCGAGCATAGAGCGACTGTGGGCCCTTCCAGACAAGCATGTACGAGGCATCTATGAGACTAGAGAAAGCAACACAAGCCCAGCATGAGCGCTTCTGGGCCTTGCTAGCGAGGTCTGTATGCATAGTGTCCACGACACTGTCCACATCACTCTGGGAAAGCTTCTGGCAGCTCCAGTCATAGCCAGCAATCGTTCGCGCTGCCGGCACGGACTGCATCGCTGGGTTGGCAGCAGTGCCATAGAAGAGACCAAGGACCGAATCTCCAGTGGGCACGGCCTTGGAATTCTCTGACACGTGCGATAGTCTGCGAGAGCCAGCTAGTCCACACATTGGGTCCACAATGCGACAACACAGCAAAGGCTCCTTCACCAACGAGTTGTTGGCCAGCATGGTCTTTTCAATCTCGCAGATGCTAACCAGCCGCTCCGGGGTAAAGAGGGTGCCAGTCCCCTCCACATCTGTCTTGTAGAAGAAGAACAGCCTGTGCAAACATCAGATATTTACTAACCGTGATGCAGGTTGGAAAGCTCCTCTTGTCTCACCAGCATGATGCTGGGCACCTCTCTTGATCGTAGTCCTGGTCATCGTCAGCGTCGTCAGCTTGAAACTCCTCAGTTGCTAACTCAAGCATCTCGAATTGGGTATGGAGCCTAAGGAGTCTAAGAATCGATTGGGAAAACTGGGCTTGCAGCCTCCAGCACACTTTCCCGCGCAGCTCGATAAGCTCGGTAATGCTGCGTCATCTCTCCGTCCAAGATCATCCAGGTATCTTCCTGCACGGAGGGCAGGAGAACTTTGCATGTCATCCGTACCCCAAGAGCCTTCCCCCATAAGACCCCCCTTTTTTTCTGCTCTCTCTGAGATCTTTGCGAGACTGTGGCCAGCTGCCCGCAAGCCGCCGAGCCGGCGGCTCCGCGTGTTCGGCGCAGGTGGATCCCCAGCAGTGGCAGCTCTTCGTTCACGAGCTCTCGGAATCGAAGCATCGTCCCGTAGTCGGATGTGCCGAAGTCTTCTTGGCCCGGGTTCGGGTTGTAGGGAATCAGGTTCAGCGCGACGCCAACATCAGGATCTTCGTACATCGGGCGCAGGAAGTCTGCCAGTTCGCTGGCGTGCCTTTCGTCATCATTCACTCCGGCAATCATGACGACGGCCACCAGCAAGTGACGGTCAGGGGTCACCCCTCCGCCTGACTTCACCAAATGCATGAAAGCATCCCTCAGCTCCAGGATACTATGCTTTGCAGTAGGGACGAGTTGAGAACGCAATTTATCGTTGGCTGCATGAAGTGACCACACAACCCCACAGCGCATTCCCGCCACCTGCATGACTTTGGCAGGGGACGGGGCGATGGTTGAGACCTGCAAACGCTTGCGTCCTATGGCCATGCGGAGTCCATCGCTCAGTGCATCGACTGCAGTGCGGACGCTCGGGATGTTGGCCAAGGGATCACCCATTCCCATGAACACCACCTTTCGCACTTCGGGCAAACCTAAATCTCGTGCAATGCGACGTCCCTGGACCACCTGGGCCAGGATCTCATCAGCGGAGAGGTTTCGGAGCAGGCCCATGTCGCCGGTGCGACAGAAGCGGCAGCCCTGCGCGCAACCCACCTGTGAGCTGATGCAGCAAGTCGTCGCAGTTTTGCCTGGAGACGACTGCAACGGAATCAAGACAGACTCCACGGCCAAACCATCGTGAAGCCGAAGGAGGTACTTCTGCGTCTCTGGAGACTCCGAAACCTCGCCGTTTTCCTTCTCCGCAATAGCCTCGCTCTTTGCCAGACTCTCCACGGCATCCTCCCGCAGCAGCTTTTCCAACTCCTGGGCGGGGTCAAGGGCACGCAAGGCCGCTGATTGGCCCTGGGACAAGTTCAGCGAGAAGGGCGAGACGCCACAGCGCAAGGCTGACCAGATTCTCTTCGATGCATGATCGCTGTCCATCACGAGGCTCAAATCCTTGAGACTCAAACTGGCAAGGCCTTTACAGGAAGTCCTTGCCCTCGCCCTCGCTCCTCGCAGGAGCGAGCGCCCTAAGACGGCCCAAAAGGCGGCGTTGAGCGTCGCCGAGCCCAGCCAGATGCACCTCGAGCTCGAGCACGAGACCCGAAGCCGAAACCCCGATCGAACGGGGCGCCGGAGCCGCCCCTCCTCGCTCCCATCAGCTGCCGGGAAGACGCCAGGGAGCGCTCGCGGCCGAGGCCAGAGCCCAAGATCCGGATCCATGTTTCCGTGTCTGTCTCTCTTTTTAGGAAGGGGCTCAACGAAAAAAAAGGGAGGCTCGGCAAGCTGATGATTACTTTTTTTGGTTCGAGCATGTCCCACAAAGAAAACACATGGCTGTCAGTGCACGAACTTCAACGACCCTTACCTTGAGAAGGAAAGCAGAAAAGGGCCCCGGAGGATGGACTGCATTCTGCAGTCGAATCCGTCGGCAATTCGGATGCATCCGACATGAGAGACACCAAACATTCTCTGCACCGGAGACAGCGCCGCTCCCTCGTCATCAGGTTCATGTATCCCAAGCCCGCAGAAAGACCGGAGAGTGCGAACTCGGCTGGAGCAGCCGTGCCACGTGACCGCAAAGAAAGGTATAACCTTCCTACACTTGGGCTTGTGCACGAGTGGAACACGGGTTTCAGTTGCAGGCGGGAGGCCATCATGAACAAGCATCCGACAAAGCAAGTGCATGGTCGCCGGACGTACCAGGTCGCCACTTTGGTGGTCGCCCTGCCGTTGACTCTAAGAGCAAGGCTTCATCGGGACGTCGCCTACAAGACTGCTATGATATCTCTGCTCTCTTCTGGGCCTGTCGATTGTAGACATCTCGCCAGCAGCAGGGGCTAGAATAAAGGGGCAACACCCTCGGTCGAACTACACGTGCCGTTTCTTGGCCTTTTTGCGGTTACATGCTGTTACTAGTATCTTTCCAACAGCTGTGCTGCTTTAATCCGCTTAGTTTGTCGCTCACGCAGAGCAGGAAAATGGCTCGCCATGGCGCTGCAATCTGCTGTACTATGCCATAATGCACAGCTTTACTAGAGCCATGTGCAATGGTGCAGCTGCCGAGCATGCGACTTGTGGTGCTGGAGCGGCCTGGTGCAAGGCTAGCCGCTAGCCAAGGCAGGAGGCTTTGAATCTGCAAGCTTGCCCGTAATATGATCCAATGAAGTCGAGAAGGTTTAGATCTCAAGCCTCAATGCTCTATGCCATGCACAGAAGCTGGCCTCTAGCAGCACTGTGTGGATAGGCGCTGGGTCGCTCCTGGACAGGATGAAAGTGTTATAGCACTCAACATGAGACCACGATTGTCTGAGCTGGCAGCCGCCGGTGGTGCCAAAGGCAGATCGCCAAACCAAATGACCAAAACCGTCTTGTCCTCAGGCTCGTAGCTGGCTCAAGGCAACATCTTCAAGATGTTGACACTTGGGCCCCCTTCCACCAAAAAGGACAAATGTGTATCCCATGCACTGCACTTTCAGTAACACACTAACTTAGTAGTTCTGCTGCAATGATGCAAAGGACCAACACCATGACAGAGGCCGTGGCATCGTGGCCATCCCTTTGGTGCGCGATCTCTAGAAGCTGTCGTGCCGCTTTGGCCGCCGGCTCCTGAATCTGCAGCACAACCCTGAATACAAAACGGAATACATGCATTTTCGTGTTGGCTCCCACACGGGCCTCTCCGCCTTCGCGCAATGCACCGGCCACGATCCTTACTGCCTGCCCGCCAAAGTCGAAGCTGGATCTAAGTGCATCCAATCTGCACAAATGCTGCTCAAATGAACTCCTCGAATGCATGATTTATGTTGTGAGCCCAGCTGAAAGACCATTTAACTATTCATGGCATCTGCAAGCACTGTCTCGAGATTCTAGATGCATTGCTCGTGCTCAGTTCTCCAGCAAGAGGCCATCCGAAACGCGCCTCCCCGTCCGATACCGGACCCCAAACCCCATCACTGGCAATGACAACAAAGCAGTCCTGCACCACGACTCCAAGCAGATCAGAAGTGAACAAATTGCAAGGGGTGTTCGGCGTCCTCGCGCAAGTCCAGCGCGGAAAGGAAAACATCAGGCCTCCGGCGTCACGGATGTCAACACACTCGATCAGAAGTCTGCGAAAGGCCGCGGCACAGCACTCACCACCTCAATCGCAAGCTGCCGTGCAGTGTCTGTAGCTCAGACTGGTCAGGCGCGCTCTCTATGTATTCTGGTACTGTGTTCATCTGTGTTCCATGCGTTGGTGCCAGTCTTGTACTCGATGTCACCGAATCCGCGCGACACGGACAAACCCGCAAGTCCCGTGCCCTGGCACGAAACAACAAAGCTCCAAGCTCGCAGAAAGGTGCAATCGGCTTCGCAGCCGGCCTTCTTGCTGGGCAACACAATTCTCCAAATGCCACTTGCTTGCACCACTGCCTTGGAGCACCAAAAATTGCGGTATACACAGAGAAACCCCCAAAATCCTCGCAAAGCATGCCTCAGAATTCCGTGCAGCTCGGATCCTGACTGCGCCTTCGGATTCAATCCGTTTGCGCTCACCAGGTACATCAGGCCTGTGAGAAGAGGCATCAGCACTGACAATGTGACTTCCATGCGAACGCGCTCTGCAGCTTTCTAAGGTCCATGCGTGTGATCTTCAGACAACCGCAATGCGCTGCAGTCCTGCAGTCGTTGCTTGATGCAAACATACAAGTTGCTCCACAACGTTTCATGCCCTCATGATTGTGCCACTGTTGTAAGTTGTAGTTGTCTGAATCACATCATAAACATGCCGGTCGAGATAGTCTCATTTATCCACGATTTTGCAACTGCCAGCTCCTTGCGACCCAGCACTGCGCGGCTGTCCCCCGCGTTCGCCACAGCCAGCCGCAGCCGACCATCCTCAAACAAATTACAACCCGAGCGAGAACTCTGCTGGCCAGTTGAGACCTCGTCTGGGCCATAGAATGTGCACGTGCAGGCCGTACTTCCTTCGTCGAAAAAACGGAACCGTCTCCAATGGAGATATGTTGTGACAAATCGAAGCCAATCCTGCATTCGTCCACGCTGCTGCAGGCCCCGCATCAAGCCTCTGAGCCGAAAGATTTGCAAACTTATCACACAAAACGAAGGAAAACGGGCCCAGTGGCCTGTTGGCATATTGGAAGAAGTTGTGCTCCGTCGTGCGAAATGCCGCTTGCAAGGCAGATCGCATGGCCAAATCACTGTTCACCTTCCAACAATCCAATCACAGGTCCATTTTTTGTTCCGCCCTGCCCCCCCCCCCCCCCCCNNCCCCCCCCCCCCCCCCCCCCACGCTCGGTAAGAAACTGGATCCGACGCCCTGCGAGCCTCTCGCTTGTTTTGATGCCGGATGCATTCGAACACCTCAAAAACGCTTCGAACGCAGGACAAAACTGGGGAACCACAAGGGCAACCAGCGCATGCATCACCAAGCGACCCCTACTGTGACTGGCTTAAAACAATGACCACCTGTATCACCTGCAACGAGCATGGACATGCATTCAAATGCTTAGCCGTGCGCGACACGGTCCAGATTCGTCGCAACGAAGTCACTACAAGATGCACCTGACAATTGTCCATCAGACTACGCGGACATTCGGCTCCATTTCTAGCTGCGAGTTAGGCGGCCAGAGTGACCGTCGAATACGCCGAACAAGGAAGCGACTATCTTCTTGCAGCCGGCACCTGTCGCCATGATGCGATTGAGGCATTACATGGCATCGAGCATGAGCCACCGACCCACTGATTCGACAGGAATGCCGTTTCGAATAATCAGCCGATCCTTGCCAGGCGATGAGCAACAAACACGCGCTACGTCGAGAAGCCAAGGTCCTCCATATGAGGCTTGCCGACTCCCTTTTCCTGTCCGGGCTGGGCTGAAACTCTTCACAAAAAACGTTCGTGGCAGGCCTGGAAGGTGCCGATCTGCATGCCGTTGATCCTTGTGAAGTAACTATACCTACCTTTACCTCGTGCATCCATCTCTCGGCACCGACTTCTGTCCCTCCTGTGCCTGTCGCTTTGTCAGTCTATCCGCTCTCTCTGTTTACCGGCCCTTGTCTCCATGGATCTCTTTGGCTTAGAAAGATGTTTCTCCTGCAGTCTCGCACATATCTTTCTCGACCCGGTGACCGTCTGCAGGCATGAAAAGCGCAGCTTCGCGAGTGGAAGCCTGCAGGTAGGGGTTGTCATGAGTGACGACTTTGTCGTGCAAATGGTACCAATACGAAGTGAGCTGGTCGTCCCGGAACGCCAGCCACGGCCCGCCCTCACGAGCACGTCGAGCTCTGTGCAGAATACGACTGGCCTTGCGAGACTGATAGCTGAAGTGGCAGCGCTCAGTTCAGTTTGCCAAAAATCACAAGCCTGCTGACCTAGGATAGATGTCAGCTTAGGGGCTTCACTAACCCGGACACGCTCTTCTGCCGGATTTTGTATCGAAAACTGGCCGAGCTTCGGGCGCTGAGCGTTTGAATCTGGATTTCTCTGATGTGCAAGAAGGGGCAGACAGAAAGTCAACTCCCCGAAAGCTAAAAACAAGCATTTGCCAGGCATCCCATCTAGTCAATCTAGTGAATCTAGTGCTCCTCAGGTTGTGCTTGGGAGTTTCGGGGTCAGCACATTGCTTTGAAGAAGATCCGGGGGGGGGGAGGACTCTAGGGCCGCACAAGTCTGTCGCCTCCCGCCTCTTCGTGGGGAAGCTTCTGCCCCATCCGCCACAAGTGGTTCTCTGCGTCGATAGCGAGCTGCACGTGCTGCTGTCGGTGGCCGTGACCATGGCGTTCCCAGAAGGCCTCGATGCAGAAGAAGTCGCCTGAGTCGTGTGCCGTCTTCCCGGGTGCTCTCGCTTCTCCTACGACCTACGAACTGCCGAAGCCCCAAAGCAGCTCAGGCGCAACAGTCCTCGCACAGAACTTCGGCTCTCTTGTCCTGTCAGGGCCGAAGCCACTGCGATGTGTCCGGAACGCAGACGAAAAAAAACCGCAAGCCAAATCAAAGCTGGCGCAAGTTGAAGCTGCGCCGAGGCTCGGGATATTCGGAGCAGGCAATGCCCTCCAGAAACCGACAGTGTTTCAGGCCCAAGCTTGGATTGCGCTTCATGGCTTCGCGATAGCCACGATCAGAGAAGAATTGCCCATTCGCCTGGAGCTTCCCAGCGACAGTCTGGTACAGCCAGGAAGCACTACCCAAACGTCGCTGACCGACTACGCACCCAAAAACATGGTCAAACGTGCCCAACCCCGACGCCTCACACGTCGCAGACTCCTGCGGAAACACCGAGCATGCACACCTAGGATTGGCTCATAGAGTCATAGACATCTTGGACTTAAGACTTAAGACTTCCCAAAGAAGACATCAGAGCTTCTGTCCAAAAAAGCGCGGACAAAGCAGCTGCTCCACTTTGAGTGGACGGTGCTGCCGGCGTTTACCGGAAGAGTGGCATCGAGCAAATCCCTCCATGCTGAAGAAGTCCATGCACTCCTTTAAACTACGCATCAAAATTGAAAGATGGTCTGACAAGATCACACAAAAGATCGATTGCTGCAGCAGGTTGCAACAGCTTTAGGACCAAAGCAGCACTCCTCGCACTTGACCGTTGCAGGCAGGCCATCAAGCTCCGAGCACATGATAATCCCGTCTGGCTGGGACATCATGTCTTGGATCTGCTCGTGCCGAAGATGTGCGACGAAGGCATCGATATCAGCCTTGATACCTGTAGCTAAAGAGATGTCGTACTGTTCCTCGACAAACCAGTCCATAGCCATCTTCACCTTCAAGGGAACTGGAAGATAGATCAGGCCGAAGCTAGGCTAATGACACGTTGTAGTGCAGCTGCGTCGCCTTTGTGCTCAGTGCAAACTCCGAGCTCGTATCAACCCCGAGAAGCAGCGCAGCTCGCTCGAGCAGCTCAGGGGTGACGGGCGGCAACTCCCGATTGCACCGGTTTAGTGCCTCGTTCAAAACAACTGCGAGATGTGCCCGTATCTTCCCGGCGCCATGCAGAGCCTGTGTCTCAGACATCTTCTGGTACAAACCCCGCAATCGATTTGCAAAGCTCTTGTATCTCGCGTGTGCGGGGTGCTGTCGCGTAACAAGCTTCTTCTTCTCGTGGTAGTACACGGGGTGCCCCTCATCATCGCCAAACGTTACCCAACCTTCTGGCAAGGCTGCGACGGCTGCGCTCTCTGCCAGCCAAAGAAGCACTTCGTCCTTCTCGAGGTCCAGGCCGATCTGCTCGGCGGCCCTCAGTACCTCCGGTCTCTTCAATGCTTCCTGGAGCCTTTTTGGCCTTTCAGCCGTCCTGACTGGCTCTAGCTGAGCTCCTGTCGCTCGGGCCTCTGCTGAAGCTACTGGGTTTGAAGATGGCCTGGTGGCTGCCGTGGGTCTGGTCTCTGTGACACCGGGCCTCGATCTCCAGATAAGAAATTCGGGACTGTCATCCGGGGCTCGCGTGCTCAGAGCACTGGAACTCGGGCCGCTCGGGGTGGAGGGGAAACTTGGGGAAGGTGGCCGAGGTTGCAGCTTCTTGACCACAGGTGCAGATGTGCTCACATCGTCAGCACCCTCTCGGCCAGCAGGGCTAAGTTTGAGTTTGTCCCGAGACGCTTCCAGCACGGTGGTCAAGTGCTTCAAGAAGAAACCTCGGCGCTCTGGTTGAGCCAAGTAGTGACCGAAAGCCCGCTCACCACCATCGTCCTTCAGGACCACAACGGCCATGCTCTTCTCGAGAGGCAAGGGAACTCCCCAACTCTCTGGCCAGCGGATGCTGCCGGGATCAAAGTCCACAAGACTAACCACACAGCCGCCGTGTGGCAAATGCCATGGGCCTCGACTGGGGGACTCCTCTGCTTTCGGTTTATAGCGCTTGGATGTGGAACCCGCTGCTCCCATGCATCACAGCTTGGAGGAGTCAAGGACACAACCTCCTCGACAGTTCCAAGCGCCATCCATGGCCGGTGGCGAGCTTGGACAAAGTGCGGCGGTGCAGCAGCTCCGATGGGCAGAGCAACACGCCGAGGCTGCTTGAGATCTTGAAGCGAGAGGACTGAGAAGCGTGCAGCAGCTTGCGGATGAGGGCGTCCTTCTGGCCTGTACCCGGGTACTACGAAGAACCACTCCGCACCCAGGCGATCGCGCGGCCTGCATGCTTGTCGGGTACAGTTGCAGATCGCACCCCTGCAACCTGCGAGACACAAGGCAATGGCAAAGCGGACCTAGATGTGGAGGACTGCTGTGCTTCTCACGCGCGCATCTTGGCCCATGGCTCATGCTCCCCTTTTTAACGAGGATTGGGTGATAGAACACTCCAAATGAACGAAGCGCTTGCTTCTACTACGTGATTAAATGGGGCGACACCATTGTGCCAGCCCCAGCAGAGATTGGACAACAGCATCTTCTCAGGTCCACGTTCTCCATATCTGCCAATTACGTGCATCTCCTCACGGCAGGGCCGCAATAGTGCATGGGATGCAGGTACAAGCGGCTGCGTGAGGAAGCAAAAAGCTATGGGAGCAAATTGGGTGAAGAGAAGACCAGGAGATCTTCTTCTTGGGGCTCTCAGAGCGCCAGTCCTCACAAGGAAGCTGCCCTGAGACGCCTCCTAAACTTCCACTTACATCGACGACCCTCTTTTTGCTTAAAGTCACTATGAAGTTTCGGTATCAAGCAGGGGCAATCAGAACAGAGGCATCGTCGAAGATCACGTGACATCGAATCTGGCGCCACTCGCTGCCCGTGCATCGTTTGATGCCGAGCTTGAACTTTCGCGACTGGGCTTCTGCCAGTCCCATAGATCTCACAAGGATCCTATGGAGAGACACCTCATGCGCAAGCTTCCGGGGCACTTTGCAATCGGCCCTGGAAGCTAAAGGTCCCTTCATCCCGGCACCGGGAACTAAGTCAAAACTTCGCTTCGCTACACCACCCGAAACGTCGGGCGATAAAGACCTCTAAAGACGAGGCGGCGAGACCGTGCACCAAACTCGCAAGGCTCTCACAAGCCTCCTGCAAGCTCTCGCAGGCACCGGCGCGCTTTCTGCAGTGGCTCGTCGCAGTGGAATATATCGGGAAAGACATACCCAAAAAATACGAAAACAGATCCTGCAGTCACGGCCGGGCTGTGGGCAATTCGAGTCGGTCCCTCGCTGCAGCGATGCAGAAAACAGACCTGCTGGAAAATGTGGTGCTTGTGGAGAAGGTACGAAAGCCGCAATTCACCGTAGTGCACCTTTGCAGGTTCCGCCCTGGCGAGCCCTGAGCCGGTCCCAGTCCAATGCTACAGCTGGAAGATCAAGTCAGGCTCTGGTCCCCTTCCTCTAGCTGGGCCGCATCACGGCCGGGCTCACCGGGAAAGTTGTGGCCAAGACTAGGGTGGCATGCCGGAATGCCAGGAATAAAATGGACTGTCACCCGCACATCAAAAGATTTCGCTTGCGGTGCGGTCAAGCGGCAGCCACTGAGACTGGTCTGCCGCAGAACTTGAGTGCATGCCTTTACATGTAACAGCTTGCTGCGGCAGAACGCGTCGTCTGCTGAGTCAGAATGATCCGAGAATTAGCGAAATTCCCTTGGTATGTGGTCGACCAAGGGATCCTCGCTGCATTAAACTAGTATGAGGAAGCATCCTTGCTTACTTTTTCGCCTTACGGGGTTCCGCAGGCATTCCCTCTGCACTTCCTCTTCCCTCTGATGAATCCAATGATCAGACTACACGGCTTCAAGCGGTACACAATTGCCAGTTCTTGACCTTTGTAGAACGCAGAGGAAGAGTCACTCCCTAAAGCATCCGTGCACGCTAGCTTCTGAGCGCACACGCTTTTTCAGCCTCCTCCGATCTCAAGCGCTGTGCCTCCACACAAAGGCCCCAACAGAAGCTAGTGGTTGAAGGAGAAAGTCGTAGGGGGCATGTCTGCGTCTCAAACCCTGAACTTGCCGTTGCGGGCATTGGGAAATAAGAGCCCAGCGCGCAGCAGATCCCTGGGGTAGCTCCAGTGCCTCAATCTACATTGACATGCACCGCGTACAAAAGTCCCACGCCCCGGTCTCACAGGCTGCGATCTACGTGCAGGACCAGCTGCAGCATGCTGTAGCACAGGAAGCACAAGCCCCAAGAGGCTGCCATCAACACCACAACGATCTTTGCCACATGTGCCTTGGCAGCTCAGTGATCCAACGCCCAAGCGCACTCTGGAGCATTGGCTCCCGGCCCGGTCTTCCGGATCGCTAAAGCCCGCCACATCCTGAGCCCAGCCGCACAGCTCTGCTTGAGCGAGGCTTTGAGAGTTCGGTCCGGAGTCCTGTGCCGATGTGTCCTCAGAAACGACGATCTTGATGCCGTTGAGTGGAGGAAGGATCTCGGGTTCCCAGAGAAGTCTGGCTTCTCAGGGCAAGAGCCGCGGATCACTGGCCGGGCTTCTGGCACCCAGGCTATGGCCGAACACGCGAGGCGCCACAACCTGGAAAGATCTTCGTCGCGCTCGCGCGGCGCGCACGTGGGTACCGCGAGGTTTGCTTGAAGAAGCAGAGTGCCAGTGCCGGCAAGGGACTTCCATGGAAGACGTCACCAAGCAGCCCAGGGCGCCTTCCAGAGCTCCTTGCCAAGCCAAGATGCCGCTTTTCCGGCCCCACGGAGCGAGCTCGGCGAGCATCGGCAGGCAGGCCTCTTTCAGGGCCCCCCAGTAACGGGGGAGAGGGGCTCTTCAGGCGCCCCATTTAGTCATCTAGCGCCCTATATACTTCCATGCATGGCTATTCCCAGCATGGCTCTTCCCATCGGCTGTTCCGAGTGCCGGGCCCCCACGGTCCAACTGGCCACAAAAGCAGATCCGCAGATCAAGCACATCTCGTAGGAAAGCGGCCATCCCTCCGGCGGCGCGACCTTCATAGGAGATTTTTGATTCCATACTCGGCATAGTCAAGCCGGGATTTTGTCTTCGAGAAGTTCGAGTGCCAGACCAGAAATGACAGGATAAAGAGTGGGAAGCTCAGCACCAGAGAAGCCTCCCATTTGAAGGGCTGGAGCTCACGGGGGTGCTTCGAGGAATCACCGTAGTCCGCTGGTCCGAGCCCACCTGTGCGACACAAGGACGCCCGTGGATGGGCAGGAACCTGCACTGGGATTTTTTTTGACAGGCTCAATACAGCAAAGACATGAATTGGTGCAAGAACATAGCACTATATAACACCTCAAAAAAGCCGCCGCCTGGCCACGAGGTCGGCCAGCACTCCGCCGCACAGGGCACCCAGGGCAGCTGAGCCCTGGCGTCAAGGATCCTCTAAGATCCTCTAAGAAACGACGATACCACAGCACCCTTATTCTACCCCTTCTCCGCCTGTGCCGACGAGCACAAAACTGTCACCTGTGCACACCCGGCTCTTTTGGTCTGCAGCTGCACACATCCTCCCTCTCTTTGTGCTCGAGCCTCCCAGTCCTCGAACCCGTACGCTTTCAGGAAGAGCGTCCTATATCCCATCGCCGCCCACGGTATGCACATGATGCCTCGGAGCGTCAGTGGTCACATCCAGCCCTGAAACGGTTCGAAGGCAGTTGACTTCAACAAGGTCCCTGGCAGGCTTGGAAAAAGAGCAGCAAGAAAGAAGGGAACTTGCCTTGGATGAGCACTTCCCGCTGCTGCCGGAAAGACACGCGTCCTGGATACATCCTCTTTGCCTTCAACCTTCAGCTGAGTGGCAGTAACCCTGCAGCCGCCAGAACTCGGCTCTGATACCTCGCGCAGCTTGCATATGCTTGCATTTTCGCGGTTTCAGATTCGCAGAGAGCCTGTTAACCAACGACTTGGGGGAAGACTTCAAAACTTGGGGCAAGCATCACATCACCAGTTTGCTCAAGGGAGCAGCTGGAGTGCACCATCCAGCATTCACTCTTTTATTCAGATCTTGTCCTTTAAGCCCATGCATGCACAGCTGACAGGCTTCGACTCAGAGTTTCGCAAAAGCTCAAGTCTCCACGGCCGCCGGGCCTTGCTCTTCATCCACCGCAGGAGGCTCACGCGCTGGTTCTTGCAGCAGCACTGAGACCTCGCGCCACGTCTAGTGATGCAGTCAACACACCGTGGGGCAGAAACAACGGCGTAGCCGCCGTGGGAAGGCGATCTGCTACAAGCGCTTATCATGTACGACTGTTTTGCACGCCGGCGAGCATCAGTTGCAACGGAAGGTCGTAGAGGGCGCAGAGCCGGCTCGTCCGAACTACTTTATGTCAACCCTCATTCTGATTAGTGATGCATGCCATGCCATGCCAATCCCTCTTGCATTCTGCAAAAGCTATGGGAACACTAGAATACTTCAGGGACTTCAGGGTTTAGAAGTTATGTGCAGCAAGCTACTCGTAGGATCTTCGAAGCTACGGCAGCTACGGCCTACCGGCAGTGCATCGGGTGTTGATATGCAGTCGACTCACCCCTGACCTTTTTCTCTCCTTCCCACGTTTTCAGCGAAAGCAGTAGCCAGGGAGGGACTGGTGCTGTGAAATTCTGGAACGGACTCGTGCCAACCCAGCTTGAATGATATCATGTGAGAATGGAGCCCTCACGGCCTTCGCGCTGCTGTGGTGTTGAAGCTACGCCGATCGCAAGCTTGGCGACGTCACGACTGGGTGGGCTGGGATAGGCTTGCCAAGCATCGAGGCTGTCACATGCAAGCTGCTTGAACATGTCCACGCACGCGTCGGACAGAGTCGGGGGAGCCCACTGCAGGTCAAGCACCTTGTCCTTGCCAAAGCAGACAGCAACGATGGTAAGGGCGTGCAAATACAGGCCTTCCTCAGAAAGGTGTTCGAGATCGTCATCTAGCAAAGCCAAATGAAATTCTTCCAGCTGCCTGACCGATGTGATCAGGCTGTGTGCCAATCCACCGGGGGCAACGTGAACACCCAGGGTCTCCTCTGCGCACTTGTGTGCCCAGCAAATGTCCCGCAGACTTGTGTGAGGCAATCGCTCGTATGGGTGGGCCATGTAAAGAATCGCAGAGGCATCAACAAGGCGTGCAGCCTCCACAAACTTGTTCAAAACAGGGACGAACCGCTCACACACCACTTGCCATCTCTCTCTTGAGTCGCGAGGCAACGGCTTGTACTCCGGGAGGTCATCTTGGAGAACTATCATGTCCCAGCCTTCAAGGATTTTCGCTCTGGCCTGGCCGGATCGCCAATGCTTCGCCAATGTGGCACCAGGTATGGTCTCGCTGTGGGCATCGAACCCCCAATTGCGGAACATGTTGTCCAAACCGCCTGACCAGTATGTCAGTGAATTGCCGATGAAAAGGATCCGAGCAGGCGAGGAAGGCGGCATTGCACAGACTTCAAAGTCCCAGCTCCCAAACCTCTTCGACCCCCAAGGCCCTGCGAGGATGCCTGAAGTAAGTGATGGAGGTCTACGACATGAATACTACTAGTACCACACTCGCCTGCCGTTCCACATCCTCAACATGTGAACAAGCCCGCTTCTACGTAGTCTGACTTCAACCCTGTCGGCTGCAACAGCTGCACAGCACGACCTGCATCCAGTGAACACGTCCGGCATATTAGATTGGTCTAGATCGCAGCCTGGCGTCGTGTCATGTCGTGCCGACCCGAATCGCAAGCAGCAAGGGGTAACTTATCTGACAAGTGCTGTGCCACCAGGAGGTTCCGAAGAACCCTTCATGCCGAACGCCAACTACGTCTTCAAATTGAGTAATGACACTTCGGTGACCCGGCTCTTAGCACCCGGAAACCCATCGCAGAAGAGGACTCTGTCCTGCCTCTCCCTCTCGTGCTTTACTGTAGAGTCCGAGGCCCCTGCAACGAAGCTTGTAAGGATCGAGATCACACCCACGCCGAGCACCGGAAGCCTCCAGCCCTGGGCCAAAAAAAAACTCGGCTCTTTGTTGCAGACGCCGGGGGGGCGTGCACCCCCAAAGCCCGGGGCCTCTATGCCCAGAAAGCGATGTGTTGCGAGCCGCGGGCTGGCCCAGAATGCGAGGCCGATCCCTCGGAGATGTTGGACTTTTAGGGTTTAGTGCGTTTAGGGTTTAGGGCTCTGTGTCAGGGGATAGTACTCAAAAAGCCTTGTCCCGCCATGTCCCGCCTGCATACAGCGCGGCGAAAAGGACGCCGAAGGCTGATCCGCGGAACTCGCGTGTGACCTGGCGGGCCCTAGCTTTGCGCACACGCCCTGCGAGGGGTTTTATATCAGCAATTTGAGCACTGGCCTCGGCGATGAGGCCAAAGCTGACTGGGCGGAGTGAGGCCTTGGCCAAGGCGTTCAGGGCACCGAGGGCCACAAGAGGCACCTGAACCAGAGCGGAACAAAGCTGAATGTCGCCGGACTCCGGACGCTTACCTTGCAACTCTCTTGAGCCCTGCGCCCACGCCGACGCGGTGGGAAGGAGGCAAGTGAACAGACCCTGGAGGAACGCCCCCAGCACCATGAGGGTCTTGCGATTGGCTGAAGCACTATCCGCCAATGCCTCGGCAAAACATGGCGTGGGCGACACGTCTACCCCGGTTCGACCCGGTCCAATAAGTCTGCGGCCGCCCACACAGGCGAAGCTGCCGCCAGGCACAGCGCCTGTCAGCGCGGAAAGAGCGAAGCGGGCACCAGGCGACCCATGCAGCGCGAAGCGTGCAGGCATCCGCAGGCCTGTACGAGTACTAGCAGAGCTACGTCCTCCTGGGTCAGATTGAGGTCGGCGTGCAAGGAGGACGCAAGGGCCGGGAGCACGACAAGGTCAGCTCCTGCGCGAGGTCTCAAGCTGTGAAGATATGCTGGTTTTCAAATGTCTCCAACAGAGAAACTCCCGCCTTCGACAAGGCCGACTGCACCAATCAGGCCATAAAGTGCGCTCTGTCCCTGAGGCTTGCTGTCGGATGACGTGTGGGAGCCATCGCTGGAGCTGGACATCGTGACCACCTCCGTCACACTCCTCCTGTCCAACAACAGGGGTGGCCACAAGCGAGTGCTGCGTGCGACCTAGGAGATTGCCAAGCCGGTGTGCGAAGCGTGGCTCATGAGGAAAAGCTGCTTGGCACTGTGCCAGTCAAGTGCTTTACATACTCTTTCAACGAAAATGGCACAGTGCCGCTTGTGATTATCACCGAATGGTGGGTAGAATGCGGCTGTGCATGAGCGGAAACTTCCAGGGTTGACAACAACCTTCTTTTGCCACGGATCGCTCATTCAATTCACCTCCCAGCATGGGGTGTGCCGGCCATGCACAGCTTGACGCTTGAACCAACCTTGTTGTGTAAAGACTAGGTCCGATCTCTAAGCTTGCCTCCTGCATTGACCATGCTGGCCCTCGGACCTTCCCCTAGCGCGAGGTTTCAGTGGCATCCAAGCAGAAAAAACATCAACAGGCACCGAGAACCCCACACGAAGCATGGAACTTTGAAGCATTGCCGCCAAGGCCACACAACTTTCCCCAAGGCATGGGATGATTCCGGCGAAACCCATGCTGAAAGAAAATGCCTGCGAGTTACTGAAATTCCCTGCGGACCTGACAACTTCAAGCCCCGTTGAGCGAGTTACAAGTACCGAAGGCAAACTGCCTGCATATCCCCGGACCACCGCACAATCGTATCTACCGCTTTCTAGCGAAAATCTCCCCCATCCACGCACACACACACACACATATACACACAGAGACTGAGTGATTGACTCTCGAGATTGCCGATGCGAATTCTGGGTTGAAAGTATCTACAAGAAACTACTTTCCCGTCTCTTCAATCATCTGGTTGGTTTTTGTTTGCCTCTCGCCTGGCCAGGACGAACCTGCGATGCGAGACCAGGCTGAGGTTCCAGGCTTGGCTCTCGCCATCACTCTTGCAGGTTCGTCCGCCACTACATCACAAGCAACTGATGAGTCACTGATGAGAGTCTTCGGTCTCTCATCAGTTCTCACCGGCACGCCCTGCTTCTTCTTCTACATCCTTTGCCCGAAATGTCATGCAAGCGCGGGGAGCGCGGGGAGTCGCATTGATTCGGAGAGTGCGAACTCTGGTGGTTGGGGACGGCAACAGTATACCTACGGTACCCAATCCACCCGACTACGCCCAGCCTTCTTCGTTTCCTCTCCGTGCGTTGGTCCGGCTCCTCCTGGGAACTCTTCGAACCAGCTTCTCGTGTTTAATCGGATCAGCTTTAACCGAGTGCAACGTGCAAAAAGCCCGCTCAAAATCGATTCACTTGCTTTGGGCCGAGGCACCACAATCTCAGGAGCAGCTAGTGCCAGTCTGAGCTGATGTAGCCGCTGCTCCACTGTGAGAACTGATGCCTCAACATAGCGACGTTGCTCCGGGTCTCCGCGCCTGCCGAACGTTCCCGTACCCGTGGCCTCTGGGGAGGATGGCAGATCCGTGGAAGCCGATGGCTCCGTGGAGCTGGAAGAAGCACTGGAACTGGTTCTGCGATCCTCAGCTGCCGGCTCCACCCTTCCAACTTGTCAACGGGACATCCCCATCCGTCCTGCCTGCAGTCTCTTCAAGGCACCAAATGCCTCTTCACTGAGCAGCAGCTTCATTCCCGTGATCGGTTCTTCCTGCGTGGAGTCCTTCCAGTTACAACGAAAGGTTGATCACGTAACTCCACTCCCGTCAGTCTCGAGTCTTGCTGCACAACCTCTGGCCTCATCGCAGCTGGAAACTGACATGCACCGTATTGGCTGGGCAAACGGTTCTTTTCTTTGAAGCGGCCGAACATGCAACCCTGAACGTGTCATGCCGGCATTGCTGTGCTGTTGTTGCTTCGTCAAAAGCCATGACTAGCTTCGGAGTTGTCTAAGTCAGTCGCGTGTGCGCAGCCACAAGACCAATAACTCATAACAAGCTGCAGCCTAACATGGGAACTGAGCTTGGCAGTGTCCGAACCAGCCGCTGGCTGCGAGTGCAGTGCGCAATTGATGCATGGGTGCACATGAAGCGTGACAGAAGCTTGGCTAAGGCGGGGCTCAGCAGGGGCCAACCTGCACGTTGCAAGCTGTTGGCTTCCCATCGACTTGGGAAGTGATCACTTCGTAGGTGACCACGGCCCCCTCAGAGACTGCCTGCCCCAGGAGCGAGATTTCAGAATGGGAACTACCATTCTGAAAGCTCCCAGCCTGCGCATGTGGGCCTTCGGGTCCTCCCTCAAATCGACTCTTGTGGACGAACACCTGAAAAACAGGGCAGAGGAATGGACGAGGTTTAGGGTTTAGGGCCGTTTAGGGTTTTTGTGGGGGCTCCAAGGCAGCTTCGTCTTCGTTTGCCTCGTCCACCATCTGGCCAGAGGCACTCGGCAGGATCTTGCCAAAGCCTTTCTCTTTGCCTGGGACGGGCGCATTCCCTCCATGTCCCCAGATCCCAAATGTATTATACTATATTCAATTATAAATTATGTTATGATATATTATATATTACATTTTTTATTGTATGAGATGATAACCTCAGTAGCAGGCTGAACCATTTGACCCGGCCCTCGAAGCGCGCTGGACCTCGGAGCTTCTGCAAGTTACCTATAAACGCCTCAAACCATGACGTGTGAGGGCTATCGGCACGCTGTCGTGCATTTTTGACGGCGGCCTTGTGGGATGCTATTGCAACCCAATGGTGAATTCCCTGGGCGGACATGACAAGAATCTCAGAGACAATCCCCAGCCACTATGTGTATTTGGTGAAACCTCGATGGACCTCGACGGAGGATGCACCTCTCTGCCTCTTGTCTTGGCAATCTGTGTAACCGCACGGGGGCTAAAGTTGCATGCTTATCGATGGACCTAAGCCAGCTGGCAGCTAGCAGCTTTGCAGCACCGATGAGATCGGCGAGTGGTGCGTGTGATACATGTCCACATGCTCGCATTGAGCGAGTGGTCGAAGCCCGGGATATCGTCCACATTCCTGCATCACATCACGGCGATCTATGAAGAGCACAGTTGCAAAGGGGGCATCTGCATGTCTGCCTCTCCTTGGTGCACGCTGGGCTGGCGCAGACCATCCGTGTGGGTCAGCGTCGCCTCCGGCTTGGCCGCAGGCGTCGCCTCCGTGGGCGCGGGCGGTCCAAACGAGCCGGAGCGCTTGCCTGGCAGGTGTGAACTTGCACGCCTACGACGGCCTACGAGGAGTAGGAGTGCATGAACTTCATTCAACCAATGACTGTAGGCAACTCCGCTACTTACCCGTGTTGACTCAAGATTTCTTCTGAAACCATTACATCCAAGCAGAGGCTGTAGGCATCAAACATCTTCAAACCATACCCTTCACAGCTCGCCGCAGCAAAACAAAGTGAACCTGGTGACATGGTGGTAGGAACTCAGGGAAACTGGTGCAGACTAGCAAGGAGCCATGGTAACAGTAGTGGCAGCGAGGAGGAATTCCAGTTCTGCTAGTTCTGTTAGCCGTTAGCGCAGTGGCAATAACCAGGTCCGTGGCCATACTCAGGCGAGCAGCTGTGTGCGTGAGCTGCGGGCAGCGGGGTACCACTGTGATGAAGGTGCGCTGGACCTTGATGTCCCATTCGCAGATACGCGCATCATCACGCTCAGAGTCCGCCGCAGTGGAGTCACTGCCTTGCCGTGGTTCCGGTGCTTCGAGCTGCCCGGCAGTGCAGGTGCCATCGAGTCGCGACTCGCCGGCAGCATCCGCAGGCATCTCCGTTATGCAAGGATCCAGCCCTCGGCACAGATTCGTCTCAGCCCCTGGTTTGGGTGCAGCTCGCAGGGCTGCAACCGCCATGGCTCGGTTCGCCACGTCGTTGCGGAAGCTGGGGGCTGTCGGCCTCTGGAGGCCACTGTGTGCCGCAGCCGCTGCTGACCTGCCAGCCAGCACGGCTCTTGCCTGGGCTCTTGTTATAGGGCCAGGGGATTTCATTCATGAAATCCTTGGGGTAACTTGAACAACAAAAGCCCTTAAGAAGAGCCCAGTTGCTGCCATCTTTGCCGCCGCGGCTCGGGCCGCTGCCAAGTGCTCGGAGGAGCTCATTCCGCAACCGAGCGCTCTCACAACGACTGCGCCCGAGCAGAACCCGAGCGCTTCCACAACGTCCCCAACGCAGCCATCGGCGCCCAGAGCGGCATTTTGAGGGACGTGGCTCGAGAAAGGGCCCCAGACATGGGCATCATGCAAAAAAGCACTGAGAAGTCTTAGAGCGGGATGATGGAGGATGCTAAGCCTGCCGCCTGTTGGCGCTGCCAAGGGTGCCTATGAGACGTGGACGTGAACACATGCACGCATCCCGCTCTCCTTCACTCTGCGCCCTGCCGCTCTTGCCTCGCTGGGCTCCAACCGCGGCTTCTTCTCGGGAGGCCTGGGCAGCCCCGCAGCTTCCCGCTTCGCTCACTGGCCAACTGGGGCGACGGGGTGCCGAGCTCGCCATTGGTTTCCAGCTCCGCAAACTGCTCACCGTTGAGCGGTAGAACCTTATGGCCAAGGCCCCGATCCAATCGACGCGAGCGTGGTCGAAGAATGTCGCAGGCTTGGAAGCTCTGGGCCGCGGACTCGTTGCAGGTCTTGACCTCTCTTCAAAATCTTCACACTTTGACTCACCATCTCTCACTCAAGGACAAGTCTTTTACACAAAGCATCCGGGGGCCAAAGCGCTTGAAGTAGAAGAAGCTGTTGTTGGGCCCTTTCACCTGGTCTTATACCGGAGGATCGGCGCACAGACAGAGCGGCTCCCCCGACCCCCTTGACATCGGAGCCTCGCCTCTCTGGCAGCACCGTCGGCTCTGACAGCGTACTTGTCCTCTAAGACATAGGCCTCGGGAGTCCAAAAAGGCCCTTTATAGGCACCTTCGAAAAACACGAAAGCTACTGACCATGAAATATGGGATGTTGCATGTCCGCTATAGGTGTCTGGGGCAGCTTCCCGCGTGATGACACCTTGCCGACCTTCCCCAAAAACGACAGCCTGCATCGGACACAGATCGGCCGTCCTTCTTGCGGCAGCTGAAACTCCAGGGGCCGTCAAGGCGCCTCTCCACGCTGAAGTGGCTCGAGGGGCTCCGCCACCTGACACTCTTCAGACTGGTCACCCTCGCCCCAAAAATAAGGAAGGGCAAGAAAGTCGTTCTACGGTGGTCCAGGCCTGACCCTGTGCTCCCCTCTTTGAGAGGCCGGGCTTCAAAAGGGCAACATGATGCTAGAATACATGCGGTGGGTAATGGCCGGCATGCGCTAAATGCTGAAGTTGAACCGTTCCCCAAACAAGAACAAGACTCAATTCTGAAGCTGCTGTCAAGGGTCCGCCGTGCCATCTGGTTCTGGTGCTCTGGCATCTTCCATGAGCTCGGCGTCCAGCACATCCCGGATGGAGATCGAAATACAAAATCCCAGATGCCCGCAACCTGCAACAACCTGCTACTGGAATGCGTGACCCGTAGAGGGCTCATGGGAGTCAAACATGTGTAGGTGTAGGGTTGTAGGCATGTAGTTGGCTACTCAGGCAAAACCCACCCGTTCCCCACATGCAATGAGACCAAACTCCAAGACCCCTGCGCACGCATCCGCGAAGTACCATCTACTGTCCAAGCTTGCCTCTTGTTCATGTGTTGGGTCTTGGTCTATGTACTACACAAAGCCAAGAGATCGATCCGAAAGAAGCATGACATGGGGCAATCCATCCACAGGCTGCAAACCATGCATGGAGGCATTTTTCCATAGGCCATGTTCGGCATCAGCAAGAGGCTGCAATGTTTCACCGCAAGAGCACGAGCGGCGCGTCGCTCAGCCCAGTAATCCCTCGGCACGGCTCCCGGGAGCTGTGTAGTCAAGCCTCGCACAGGAGATCTCCGCGAATCAAAGCAACCAGTGATTTCGGACCAGCTACGATGACCATGCTCACAATCAGGACAGGAGTTCCTTCAACAGCTTATGACTCGTCTTCATGTGCACTCCCTCAATCGAAACTCGAAACTCTAACCATTGCTAGCATTTCAACATGAACATGTGGGAAGGCCAGGCATTTGTTTGGGCATGGGGTAATGGCGAAGCCCAGTAGAGGCCACGGGTTTCTGACCTTGCTTGAGGATTGAATTCGCTGAGGAAGCATTAGAAGCGCATTCACGAGACAGCTTAGTAACAGCGCCACTCGTGCTGACATGCTGAGCGTCTTCAGGATTGGCGCCTTTCTCTGTTCGGCTGAGTTCAGGCTTGGGTGTCCACCATGGTTGCCTTCTTCCAAGTTTAGGGTTCATACCAGGGGGGATTGTCCAAAACATCACCTTATACAACTTTGTCTGGCAAAGCAGCTCAAATCTTAAAACTGCCTTCCTCGACCTAGCTATCTTGGGCACCTTCGGCCCCGAACTTCCCCGGCTTGTCCACAGCTTCTGGCAAGGCCCTAACCCACGAGGCTGAGATCATGGATAGCTTCATAAGGCTTCATACCCACTCACCAGTCCGAGGATGTGGGTACTGAGCCCGTGGAAGCAAAGGGCTGGTGCTGCAACAAGAGAGGGGAGAGATCGTGCTGAAAATGCCACTCCAGCAACGGGAACCCTGTGCCTCTCATTTTCTGACCACCAAGCAGGCATGCCGGTCCTTCTCATCTTGCTGTCAGGCGTGCGAGCAGTCGCGGCTTGGCTAGGCCGAGGTGCTGGGCGGAGACCTAGATGAGCTTGCGCCGACAGACAGGACAGGCACTGGCCTTCCCCAAGGCAGCCGCGGGGGAAAAGGCCAAGGTTCCCACTTGCAGAGGGCCGGCAGATCCCGGTGATGATGATGTTGGCGAAGCTGGGTCCGTAGTGGGTGAATCTGAAGACCCGGACCCAGATGGAACCAGTCCGCCTCTGGCGCATCTGGGCTATATGCTAAAATATGGCCTTCTCCAGCACTGCCAGCAGCAGCTCGTGGCGGATCTTCAAATCCAGGTGCCCCACACGCTCCTCCGTGTCTTGCAAACTTGCCGGATACCAGAGGATCTTCAGCAATGGGCGTGGCCAGACATGGTCGAAGGTCATTTCTTCAACAGAGCAGGGTCTTGAATAAAGACTGTCTTCGCTGCACTCTTGCTGGATGTCTTCCGTTGGCTTGCACCCGCCACACTGCGGTATCACAATGACGCTGGCCCAATCAGGCAGGAAAATGCTGCTGGCGGTGTGCGTGGATCCCCCGTGCGTCACCCAGACGTGCATTCTCTGCAGGACTTGCAACTGCTGCTCGAGGCTGAGGGTCCAAAGCCGTAACTCCATGTACTCGAGATTCTTCGTCTCCGCCCAGTCCCGAAGCCACACTTTCACTTCCTCTCCGTTCGCCACGGCTCTGCGCACGCCTTTGGGTTTCAAGGCGAAGCCTAGCGCCGCTCCGCCTGCTCCGCCTGCCCGGCCGCGCGCGCTGCCTGCCGTGATTCCGAGAAGTCGGGAGTAGGCCCAATCCCGCAAAAGGCGCATGTGCGTGCCGAAGAGGCCACTGGCGATCACGTCGTGATGCAAACCGCTCAGCTTCCCGTCTTTACCATAACCAGAGAAGAGGCCGAAGCGCCCGGAACCTGCAACCAGTCGTGAAAAGCAGAGTTCCTCCAGGCCCTGCACTGTACCGTCTAGGCGCTCCGTGTCGAGCCAAGACCAGTCGGAGACAATTGAGATTAGCATGTCGCTGATGCGCTCGCAGTTCCGTCCTTGTGTGTTATTGATGATCTTGGGCATGGCTGGAGGTCTGTTGTAGATGCTCAACGGATCGCAGTCATCAAGGAAGAAGACCACGCGGCCGTTCGTTTCGCCCCTGATATCACCCTCGGTTTGGGAAATGAGAACAGTAAGTGGGAGCATCATCTCGTTGATCATGTGTCCCCAGTTGGAGCTGTCGCCACGCAGGATCACGTAGGTCGGCACCGTCAGCACACGGCGCGGCCTCGGAGACTCCGTGTTCTCCTTCTCCACGCGCATAGGCAGGATCTTGCGGGGAGGGTCGTAGCCGCCGAAGTTGGTCTCGGCGCTCCCGCTCCAAATGCTGACCGGTGGCGGTCCCATCTCCTCGTCCTCCGAGTAAATGAACTCCTCACTTCCGGGGCGGTAGCAGACGTTGCGGAACTCACAGCTGATCTCCTCCGCAGGAACTGCAAAGACCGTCCCCAGCGCATGTGCGGGCGGTGACACACCGCCCCAGCAGAGGTGCCTGGACCGCCATTCCTCGCCTTCTGTCTGAGCCCATGGACCCCAAGGGCCCAGATCGTCCCCCAGCCCTGTCCGGAAAGTGAATACCAAGGTCAAGAGGTGCGTTTCCGCCCATGCGTGCAGACTCATCGCAGCTCGGGGTCGCTTGAAGCTGGAAGGCCACAGGCAAAAATGCAGTGGGTTAAGAGCAAGCAATGGGGTCCCCACACCTCACAACCAATACCCCCCCTGCACCTTTACCCCATTTCTCAACCCGACTAAGAACTGAACCCTTCAAGCTGACAAAACACAAAGCACCTCCCAAAACAAATACAACGTATCCATTAAAATAACCAATATCCTCATGAGGTGTGCTCATGTAATCAGATAGGGTCTGGGGTCAGCGACCCTAATTGTCCTAGCCCAAAAGACCATAACCCTGAACTGGCTAATGTTCTTCTTGGATTTTTCTAAGATTGCTTAGTAGCTTAGTAGAATGCTATTGATAGATTATTTCCTCATCCGTGCTTCTAAATAATCGTGTAACTCTGTTTCAGTAGTGCTATACTTCTTTTTTCACACACCTTAAAAATTCAAACAACACCAAAAATATTGCTTTCATGGCTTCCCTGACTTCACCTCTCGGAAATCGTGATAATCTGTCAAAGTCCATATCGCACCCTTTACAACGCAACAGGAAGCTTAGAAACTCTGCGGGGTTTTGATAAATTCCTACATCTTGGGATTGTATAACCAAAAACGTTAGCATGTCTTGGTTTAATTGGGTGTCGTGTTTTTTTTGTGTTTTTTGTTTTATGATCTCTTGTGGTAAATGTTGGCTCATCGGTTTCGTCGTCAAGAAATTGCATCAATAAGTATGATATTATCTTCCTCGCCCAAAGATGGTGTTTGTTTACTTCTCATTCTTTTCATACTCGCTATTTAATCTGATACTTGCTATACATTATCGTATATTCCAAGCATATCAGTAACATCCGCTGGTAATATGTTTAACTTGTCCTTGAGTTCCTGACACTTCCAGCAATGCGATAACTTCAACATATATGACCTAATATATATATATATATATATATGTAGATCGATAGATACATAGATAGATAAATAGATAGCCAATATTTCTCTAACTGTTTCCGTAAAGTACATAAAGAATGTAAATGGGAGTTTACCAAACTTGGTTAGCAAGATGTTATTCATGGTTCATCCGTTCATTATTGTATAAAGTTGTGCTAAGCCGTTTTGCTCTTCTCTCTCCTTTTCTTGCTTCATAATGTCTATTGTTCTGGCATCTACAAGTTCACACAGTCATCTTGCCATCCTTTACATAAATCATAGTCGTGCAATTGATGTCTATATGGTCTTTCATATAAGGTGTTCATAACTTTGTCCTTTATTAGTTCCAAGTCTTTGCTGATTCTTGATATTTGTTTTGCCTTTCCGGGCGCTTCTGTCATTAATACATAAGTTCTTGATGCTTTAACTATTATCTATAAAAACCATATTTGTGTAAAATAGTTCAAGTTTATTCTCAATGAGTTCTAACTTCTCCAAAATCTTTCGACTGCTATTAAGGACCCGGCACCTGAATCAGGCGTCTTGCACACAACACATCAGCAGGATTGAGAATGCTGCTTGGCAAACAAACCAAGCACTCGGACCCCCGGCGATGCATGTCGTTGCTCCCTCTGAGGGCGCGACTTGTAGCGCCTGGCCGCAGCAGCCTCTGCATCGAAGAGAGCAGCGCCAAAGGCTGCTGCCTCCCAAAAAGTGCTGAGGCAGCTGAAGATACGCAAAACACCTCCGTTTTGGAGCGTGGCCTCCAACTTCAGCCGCCGTAGACCCTCGCCTACGGAAGCAAGAAATCAACACTTCTCTTGCGAAGTCCTTAGGAGTCTTTGTTGCCGCTGAAGGCCTGAGAGCTGCAGCTGATCCACGGCCTTGGGCCCATAGTCCAGCTGCCTCATGAGCTTGACCTGTGCACAAGCCACAAGCTATGATTTTTGCATACAGGGTCCCTTTCTAGGATCCCTTTAGAAGAGTGCGGTGCTATTTTGGGAACCTAATACAGACGAGTACGCAACTCTGCTTCCGCCTCGCTGCCAAAAAGCTCAGTGGCTTGATGTTGCACAGCTCGCTGGGCTTCCCGTGTGGCCTCTACCAATGACTCTCTAAGAAAAGCAGGACGCCACTGCCGTCCCAAGGACCGAGGCAAAGGCCGCCCGCGCCAGCTCCACGGCATCCGCAGGTGCAAGCCTCCTTCAATCACTTCTCCCTTTAAGGGGGCTTTTGGCTTGTTCGGGCACAAGATCCCAGAGGGCCATACTCCATCCAATCGGACAGGCCAGTTGTAGAACCTCCGCATAAACACTGCAAAATCGACGGGGCCACGAAATGCTGCATCACGACACATGCTCCCCCTTCGCCTTGGCCCAAAGACTGTTCTAGCTCCAGACCTGGACAGGGTCGGCCACAGCAGCCATCGGCAGCACCGTGCCACGCAATGCCAGCCCCAAGGTGTCGCATTTTGCATCAGATCAGCATGTAGCAGCAATGTAGCAGAGCACAGCAGGGCCTATAGGCAAACGATGCAAAGGATCTTCTTTCACGAGTTGCGATTTTTTGGGGCTCTTTCAAGTCTGAGACACTCAGCCCAAATCACCGCATTGAATTTCGATTTGCAGCAATGCAAGTGGGGCCTACAGCTTCCGTGTTTGTGCCTGTTTGGTATGGACGTGGCTTCAGCACAAGCAGAGACTTGCTTCCTGATATGCCCATCTGTACATCGGTGTGAAGAGCTATAGGACCCTCGCTCAGCCCCGAGCGTTGCAGCCCCCGGCGCAGGAAGTAGCCAAAGCGAGCCGCTGAGATGTAGTTTTGCCGGGCAAGCAGAACCTCAGAAGCCAAGGTTGAGGGGAGCCCTCGAAGCAGAGTCACCGTAATGTAACAGAAACACAGATTTGTATATGCAGACAGCAGCCGCAGGTGTAAGGCGCAAGCGCTGCCACGCAGCGCCTTCTGCATCTCCTCCTCGGACTCTCTGATCGGACTCACGGTTCCGCGGTGATCACACCATGTGCAATTCCAAACATGCAAATGTCCACGGAATCGTGGCTCTGACACAGTTGCACTTCCCTAGCCGTCCCTAATCGCTGCGTGTCGTTACAAGTCTCGACTAGCTGCTGGGGATCGATAAACAAACGGCGCAGACACGACAAACGGAAGAATAAATTAACTTCCACCTCATGTTTCGGTGGGCAGCGTCAGACTCTCAGAGTGCTTGCGTGAGGAAGCTGACACGACATCCAGGAATTTCGGAAAGCATGTGACACTGTGAAGGCGTGCTGGCGGCCGTTTGGTGAGTTCTAGCCGTGACTCCTTGTTATCTTCCACCGAGGATTGAACTTTGCCCCTCATTGCCTACGTCATCACCGAGCTCGGCACTGGCTCAGCCTCCACCTTCTCCTGTGCCTCCGCTGCTGCCTCTTTAACCTCGCTTCGAGAGCCCAAGGAGCTCTTGGGGCCCTTGAACTTGGAGAGTGCGGCGCCTCCGTGTCGCCGGCAACAGCATCCAACTCCCGCAGATACAGCTCGGCCTGGATTTGTCGACCAATCCTATGACCTAGAACGTCATATCATCATATCACCTGAGCCTTCGTGCGATTGCGCATGCTTAGGCAAACCAAGCGCAGCCTGCCAGAAGGCTCTGCCGGCACCCGAAAGCTGCTCGACCTCGCTGCTTTGCATCTGCCAGTCTGACGTGTCATTCCAAGACCAGCCTCAGAGAGAAAATTGAAGACCAGCCGCAGAACCTCCGGCCCAAGGAAGGCAAGCAAAGCGTCCTGCAAGCTGCAAACGGTGGTTTTTCTATCCTGGGCCATCGAACTGGAACTCCTCTGCACCACGAAGGGGTGGTATGTCCACATAGACAGCTGGGATCGTGTATGGGCGTAGCCTCGCGACAAAGGGCTGCAGAACTCCACTGAAGATCAAGCGATCGCGCCATCCGAATCGGAACTCCGCCCTGTCTAGCATCCCTGCCTGTCTAGGGCACTGGCTGCCATGAGCGCCGCTGCTCTCCAGCAGCGCTGCAGAAGCGGCACACAGCAAAGTGAAACTTGAAACCAAGAACGCGACTTTTCGGGTTTACAAACTTGCACATGGGCGAGGAAAGCGTAGGCAGAACCCTCTTGCCTGCTCGCCGGCACCCCCTGAGCAAGCCACAGTTGCAGCACGCACCGAAAAATCATATGTCATAAACTCATAAACCAAAGGGCTTCTTGGGAGGCTCACTCGCTCTCTTCCTCTTCTCTCATTGGCCATTGGGCGGAGTGATAAATAAATGTTGTCGCATGCAAGGTGCGAAGGTGTCTAATTGCCTCAGGCAGTCCCAGCCCTGATTGCTCTCACCACTATGTGAGACTGAGCTGAACGAGTTGGGATGGAGAAGTTCCTCATCACACCTGCAACACTCCATAGTCCAAAATAGTCTAATAATAGTTCTATGCTGTACATGTTTTTTTGTATGTTGTTGTAACAAAAGGCTCTACGGAACCAACATATTCATCGGCGCAGACATATGGCTCAAGCCCTAGAGAGCCCGGGTGGTCTCCCAGTTCTCGAGATTTGAGCTGTTCGCTGCCATGCGATCTGAGCTCTTCTAGACTCTTTGCTCCGGGTTTGTCCTCGCACTTGGTTTCTTTGGCGTGGGTGGCTTCCGCTCCAGGGCCGAGTGGCGGTCTGTCGAGGTGGCATCTGCCTGCAGGTGGGAAGAGCGGCGCAGCGTTGCCGCATGCAATGCTGCCCCGCCTCGGTTTGGAGGAGGAGCCACTTGGCGTCAGCTTGCGCCAAAGCGTCTTTCAACGCTTCCTCCGGTGCCTCACCCACCATCAACGGAATGACAATCAAGAGAAACCAAATCACGCAAGAAGCCCCGTGCTTCTCGCCACAAGTTCGGCGTGGAGTCCTGGCATAAGTGAGGAAGACAAGAAGCCTTGCATGCAGCATGCCGAACGTGAAGGATTGTTGGTACCTGCTGCGAAGCTCGTCGCGAAGAGCGTCTCGCTTGGGCTCGGCCACTGACGAAGCCAGCTCCGGGCTTGCGAGTCGCAGAGAGCGCAGGCAGGCATCTTGGTCCTGGGCCCCGCATCTTACGGAGGAGCCGCAGGTTCTTCTCGAGGGCCCGGCGACCGGAAGGAAGGTGCGCATGCAACCACCCCTGGAAGGCATGTGCCTTTTGAGCGTGTCTCCTCAATGCCACTCTCTCATTCTGAGTCTGGAACCTGTGAGACCTCCCTGATCGAAACGCTGGCCGCCGCAAGGGCCTTAACAGGTCAGATTCGCCACGGCTGCACGACGTGTACAGAAGCGGGCTCAGACCCCGTGCATGCAAGCCACGAGGCACTGCAAAGGCAGTGGGACAACGGCATGGCTTCCAGGATGCCTCGCTTGAGGCATTTGGGGCTCTCACTTACAAAACGAGATTCCTGGCGAAATTGAGGCTACAGTGTCGAGGCTCGAGCCCCTAGCTCAACCAGATGCCCTGCAGCTCTGGCAAGTCAAGGTCGGTTTGCAGCACAGACTGTGGCAGCAATGTTGCACTGCTGTGTTGTAGCTGTGTAGCTCCACTCCACGGCAGCTGGTAGCACGAGCACGGCTGCAAGCACTCAGAGATGCATGTGTTAATGTCAGTTCATGGCACAAAAAATCTCAGGCGAACTGCTTCTTTCCCTCGAAAGGTGAAAGCGATTGCTGCCGCGGGCTACTTTGATACCTCGCGCTTGCGGCGCTGATGCTCTTCAAGAGCGATGCTCGATTCACTGATCTGGCTCTTGTTCATCACAGTTCTCTGCTCTACAACGTTTAGCTTCTCGCTAAGCTTTGCACACTGCAAATCGATGGATTTCAAGTGCTCAGTAGCTCTGCCAAACTCTTGCTGCAGTTCTTCGTGAAACTGGTCCGCTGGCTTTTGCTGCACAAACAAACGTACGGTCTGCACCTGCACCGGTACCCACGGAGACTGCAAGGCCTGCATAGGCAAAACCGATAAGTCAATAGCCAAGAACATCTGAAAGATGGCTTCCTCACTGTCGGCAGTCCAACTGCCTTGAGGTCTGCAGAGCTCCCTGTATGTTCCTTTCAAGTACTCAAGTGCCTGGCGAATCAAGCCAGCATCTTCACAAAGGGACCAGCACGCCAGATCCCACAGGCTCTTGAGCTTCGGAACATCGCAGTATGTCCCGGAATGCTTGTACCAAAGATGCCTCATGATCACCTGACGGCCATAATGCAAAATTGGTTTTTCAGTCACGGATCTTCCCTCCATCATGGTCGGCCGAAGCAATGGGATCGTCAACAGCCCCTCATCCCACAGACACGTTCCCTGCACTTCGACGACTTGAGGTTGAGGACAACACACATCATCTTCTGCGGCCATGACCCGCAAGAGAGGTCCTGGCATTGCCCGGCCGTCTCCCTCGAGGCAATCAGGCCAAGAGTGTGGGAGGAAGCCTTCTTGAAATACGAAGGACACATCGAAGAGTCGCCGACCGAGATGCTCCAGGCGCCACAGCACATGTTGGCCGGCCCAGTGAGCAGGACATCGTCGCTCGCCGAGAGATGGAATAGCATGCCCAGGCAGAGCTGCAGCTTTTCGGCCAGCATCCAAACAGGCCCCAACAAGCTCGTTCACCAACTCGCTCTGGAGGATCATGTGGTTGCAATGGTCCCAAGAAAGGAACTGCGCGAGCAAGACATGTTCAACCAAGTCGCAAAACTCCTCGGCTTCCATTGACCGATAGCCGGCGAGAACGCGCAGCAGGGCCTTCGAGGAATCGGGGTGCGCCACGACATCCGCCAGCCACGCCGCTGGCACCGCTGGAGCCCCTGCTGGGCACCAGGCCAGCCGCTGCACCAAGAGGCTCTGGGCGAAGGTGGCCTTGAACACTTTCCGGGCGAGGCCGCTTTCCGGACCCTCCAGAAGCAGCAGCGTCCGTATCAGCAAAGCTGACCAGTTTGGATACAACCTCTCGACGTCGACGAAAGCAACCAGCTCCACGAAGCAAATAAGTGTGGAGTCCTGCGCCGCCTCACAGAGCTCCGTGGGCAAGTCCGTGTGGGCTTGTTCATCTTCCTTTAACTCCCCGGCCATCTCAGCGCTGGTGCGAGCTGCCATGGAAGGAGGTGCTGCTGCAGCCAGACGGCGCCGCATACACCGCAAGGCAAAAAGATGGGAGTCCCATGACACTTTGGCCCGCAGCGGCTTGTCCATGAGATTCCTAAGCTCAAGGTGCCAAAAAGGTAACAAGAGCTGATGCCACATCCAATGAAGTGCCTAATCTATTAAGCCATGTCCATGTCATGGACAACGCGGACGCATCTGTCCAACAGCATCCATCTAATCACTTGCCTGGAACGAAAAACGCTTTCTGACACGTCTCTGTTCAGCATCCTGATAATCGGTGTTGCAAGCCAAGTCGCTTCCAGAGGGCGCTGACCGGCTGCATGGCTGTTGTCACGAACCCAGATTCTTCCTCGCGCAATCGCTGCAGGCGGAGCAACTCAGCACATACCCGTAAACTACCAGTTGCCAGCCGCGGTCCAAGTATGAAGTCGCCTGAATCTAATTCCGATGCAAGCCTGATTGCTGCACGCTCTGTCGTCTGCCACATAAGCGTTTCGAAATGGAACAATCGCAGAAACTGACCACACGCCAAAGCTGGAGTCACCGACGGGGACATAGAACTGACCATTCCATGTTCCGTCCAATTGCCCAGGACGTCAGTCTCATTCGGCATGGAAGCCAGCAACTCTGCAGCATGCTCCGAATCCGCCGGGCTGCTTGCAGCTGTGTACGGCAAAATGTGCTCCAATATCTCGGCCCGCCTTCGAGAGGAGAGGGATTTGGCATAGGCCGACTCCATGACGTCCTCTAGCAGGCGTGGGCATTCCAACAGCCAAGTTGCTTCCATCAGGTCCAGGACCGTTTCCTCTGTCACCGCCAATGGTTCGTGATCCACCAGGAATCCAACAATGTCCCGGAATCGCTCTAAACCCCCAGGAAAATCCAGCAAAGGACATTCCTTTTGATCAGTGCTTTGCACTTGAAGGAATAACCCAGAGACTTCTGCCAACACATCTACATCAACTTTGAGGCGTTCTCCGTCGATGACCACTTCCACGGCTTTGTGCCCTTCCTGAATGGTGGGTGGGCTCCTCCCCTCTGTGGAGGCCCCAAAAATGAAGCTGAACATTGTTTGAATGCCATGCGGTGCTAAACCGTTCAGTCCTACAGACGACACCGCACATAACCCGAGATCTCAAACGTGTAGTGTGCACAGGATTGGCGTTCAGTTCTGCTCGCAATCACTGTCAACATGATTAACCGCTGCATTTCAGCCACCGGCCTAGGTTGTCTTGGAACTACTGTTCCGGCTTGAATGCTCGCGGCAGCGCTAACAAAAAGCGATGTTTGCTGGTAGACGCAAACTACTGCAACCACCTGGAAAGCCGAGGGCTTCAGATAGCTTCATGAATGTGGCCATACAGCCTGAGGTCTGAATTGAGTTGTGGCTTGCAGCGGGAAAATGCAGAAGCATGACATCGCATGACGTGCCGGCGCCAATGGTTACCAAGGAAGAGGCACCAGTCCTTATGGTTGGTCACAAGCGATCCATAGCTAAAGTGGTTTCTTCCAGTTTAAAAACGCGAAACTTTAGAAACGTGCGCGTCCATCCTTTGGTCCCTGGGGTTATGGGTCTTAACAAACGGTTCATAGCTGAAGCGGTTTCTTCCGATCCAGAAACCAGATGTGTGTAGAAACGAGCGCAGCCAACCATTGGTCAGTACTAGTTGTGATACGGCGAATAACATATACTTGTCAAGCACTGTCAACAGAAACGACGAGGAATCGAATTCAAATAGTAAACCCACCCCCAGAATCCCTAGCATCATGTTAAGAAGTTTCACACTGATTGTTCGTCCTTCTCGACGTTTGATCATTGTTTCTTCTGTGGGGCAGCATCTGCATGCCCAAAAGGCACACGAAGGCAATGCGGCTGGAGCCACCTCACGACAGCGCTAGCCACCGTGACTTGGAATCGTACGGGCCGCGACCATGCAAAAATTGCTCGCCAAACTCTACTTGAACAGAACATCCCCCAACATACTTCAAAAAAATCCCAAAATTATCAGGAATCTACAGTGGTACTCAAAAATCTCCGCGAATTATGCTCAACTTTTCCAGAATCGTCTGTGAGCATGTTTCCTGTGGTGTACAGTCGACAATTGTTTCATTGTGTCTGAGTTTCCCTTCATCTTTCCACTGTTATATCGCTTCTGCGAACATATTTCTGTAGGGTAAGGTCAATAACCCGGAAAATTTAGCGTCGACTGCTGAGGTAAGCTGAAAATGTTGAAAAAATTGAAGTGTGTCTTACGTTCGGAATTTAGTGTCAGCGTTCATGATCTCAGCTCTACGCATGCTGGTGCGGACCGAACATAGTTCAATTGCCTCTTGCATTCGTTTCGATTTCTCAAGTATTCATATCTCCGAAACAATTGAAATGATAAGTCTTTCATCGGCCCCTGAATCCGGAAGCACTAGAGGCAGTGGAACATTCAATCACACATCCAACCATGAGGTCCGGTTCGGCACGTCACCCAACGGGAGCACATCTGGTGCACCTGGGGGACCAGACGCCCAGCCCAGAGTTGGCGACAGCTAACACGCTCCACCAGCAGCGCGCCCAGTCCTGAGCGGCGGACGCGCGCAAGGGGGTGGGGCGCGCTGCACGCGGAGCCGGCGCCTTTGCAGAGGAATTGCTGGCACTCGTGGACAACGAGTTCCGGGTAATGCGCGACGGCGAGCGACCTGAGGGCAAGGGCAGCCGAAGGTGGCGCGTCATTGCAACGTGCATCATGAGGTCGGGCGTGAGGGCGGACACTGCATCGGAAGGAATCGCAGCAAACCACATACCGGCATGCGGACCGGACTGGGAGTGGGGGAAGGCGCGAGCAGGCGGGGTCAAGGCTGGAAGCAATGCGCGTTCTCGAAGAGAAATGTGAAAGTGCGGAAACGGCATGTCGCTGCCCACCAGACCCTCCAAGGCGAGCTCACCTTCATCCGCTGGGAGTGCTGCGCCGTGCACGCATGCGAGTCGGCCTATGTGTCCAACCCGCCCCAGAAAGCTCCTGTCACGTTGGGAGGATCATGTCACAGTTCTTCTAGGCTCTTAAGAGGGGCACCGACGACAGCGTGCGCACCTTCACGGGCGAGTTCGACCGCATGGCGTGGATGCACGTGGGTAAGCTGAGGCTGGACGAAGGCGGGGAGATCTTGCTGATCCACGACAAGTCTCTGAGGAAGCCCTACGAAGACTCCAAGCCTACGAGGCGAGACTGCGAACAAAGCCGTGGAGAAGCGAGACACGAGCACCTCGCGGCGTCAACATGGCCGAGCCCGAAAAGGACGAGGAGAGCAGCGACGACGGCAGAGATGGCCCCGAGACCGAGGACGAGGACAACTGCATCGTCAGCCTAGTACTACGAGACGTTTTTGTTTTCTTCCGACGGACCTTTTTGCAAGCATCCGGGCGCGGTCCCAGTGCAGCAGACTACCGGAGTCAACCAAGCCCACGACCAAACCCCTAACCGCAACCATCCCGAGCATGGAAGCAAGCT